AACTTACGTGTATACATACATAAGTACACATGCACTTACGTGCATCATCGACACACGTGCATCATTACAATATTGTTTCGATAAATTTATTTCTCCATTAGAGCAAAGTTAAACGTAGATACTTTGTTTCAATTCCAATTATAAACTGTTGTTAGGATATTATTTCAAAATTGTGTAAGTGGTAAATAATAACACGATAAGATGAAACTGTGTGTACTGTAACTTCTATAATAAACTTGTACACTCACTTATTATGTCTATGTGTAATTACATTACGAGTTATCTAATTGTCTATTAAAATTAACGAACCGCGTATTATATCGACGTTTATGAAGATAATACTGCTCCATTAACATCGATTCTTACATTTTAACATTTATACAGTGTGTCCGTTTTATCTGGAAACGCATGAATATCTCATAAACCGTTAAAGATATGAAAACATTATTATTATGAAAGTTGTTTAACATGGATGGGGACATTGTGTGGTGTAAATAGTTTTTTTTTTTTCTGTACTAAGTTGCAGAAGAGATTTCAAGGTTAAATTAATTTTTTTTAATGGGATACTATACATCTTTTTTCATAATATGATAGCATTTATTAATGCGAGTATAACGGTGCGCCACATAAGGTTAATCAATGAAATCTTAAATCTCATAAATTAGTGAGATCTTAAGGAATCAGATCAATGCGAATCGCAAGTCGTCGGTAAGCTGATCCCTATGTGATCGTGCTACGGATTCCAATTAGACCACCCAGTATCTGCTAAACTGATAGTTCGAGTGCTGTTTTTATGACATTCTACTACATTGAATGATCTTATGCGGTACACCGTTGCACTCGTCTTAACAAATGCTAATATATTATGAATAAAGATGTATAATATCCCAAAAGAGAAAAAAAAATTAACCTAACCTAACCTTGAAATCTCTTCTACACTTCCTACACAAAAAAATCTATTCACACCATACAGTGTCCACTTCCATATCAAACACTTTTCATAATAATAATTTTTTCATATTTTCAACGGTCTGCGAGATACTCGTATGTTTCCAGATAAAACAGGCACACTGTATAATTTCTCTACGTAATTTATATGTACATATATACGTATAAGGATATTGATGTATAAATAAAGTTATTAAGTGATGTCCATAAATGCTCGTGGTTAGATTTCTGTTTTAGATATGCACCGTTATTAACTGGTTAAGTGACGGTAAAGTGATAAATTCTCAATGAAATGTTACGGGTATACAAAGCAGAATAAGTCGAAGATTACTATATACGAATAAAGTAGGATTCGTTTTGTAGATTTTTATTTGAAATTGCAACATCCGCCTTTCTAAATCTTTTCTGCATTCTGTATATTTCAGTAATGATAATGAACGCCTCTCAGAAACGGTTACTTTTGAACATCTTTTTCCCTTATTCGCGTATTAAAACTGCATTTATTTATGAGAAACATACCGATTCAATGTGTACTGTATGGTGTTAAGTGTAACGTACAAATCGACATTCAAACATCATAGTTTCTTATCTTAATGATCCACCGTTATTATTCGTGGTTTCATGCGAGTAGAAAAGGCATCGCGGCAACACTGGGGAAATGCACATGCTTGATTACATAACTGACGTAAAAGAAGTTCTTTCGTTTATCGAAGCTAAGTTAAATCTTATAATTTATTATAAATACTTACGTTAGATTAATTCATCGAATTAACAAACGAACGGATGTAATTATGTATAATGAAAATTTATGCCGATATTTTCCGCTTCGATAATGAATTATCGTTATCGTTTCTCACATTTGCGATATTCTACAATTATTGTCACATTATGTTGTAAGGTCTTGTATTTCACTGTTTTAATTATTATATATAAATGTTTCGTTTAATTAGTTCGTATGAGAAGTCCACCAAAAAAGATAACCTTCAAGACGATCCACGTGAAGTTCTTCAATTATCGGTAAAGATGTTTTAGCAAGCGAACTATTTGGATTCAATACATCGTTTAATTAGTAGATAGAGCCACTAGGAAACAACATCCTCAATTAATAGGAAGTGATATTTCTGTTATTGCACAGTGTTTTATGATGCATTAAAGCAAGTAATGAAAGAAGATAAATAAATAGCATTTCTAATCTTCGAGAAATCTCGGATGTCTCGATCGCTTCCTCGAAATTATATTCAGATGACGGTGTGACGTAATAATAATTATTTTCGACGAAGCAATGAAACTTGAACTACGGTTGATACTCGCGGCGTGTAGGTATTCAGTTTTTTCAGGTTAGTGTCTAATACGCGATTACACAACGAACAGGGTGTATTAGTTATGCGAATACTTTCTCGTACTGGCAATTCGCAATTCTGCAATATTACTATGAGAAAGCGATGGGACAGCGCTCCTCATGGTAAGGAGCGTAGCTTTTTTCTTCCTGGAAGTTTTTGGTCAACAAAACCGCTCTATCGAGAGAATTTTCACGCGAGTGAAAGTCTATGACTGAACGATACTTGTTTAACTCGTTTTGCTAACGATGCCTACATAAAGGGATAAAAATTCGATATTTTCTCCTTTTTTCCCTATAAATCAGTATTTTTTGTATTTCCTTCTTAATTCACATCCTATGCAATCAGTGACTTGCAATTTCGGTACTTTTTCATTACCTTGACCCAAAGGTAATTTTAATATCATTAGATAATTTTTATACAAATTTTACTATAGCAGGTATGTTTTCTTGTATCTTAATATTATTAAATTGCTTTTTTATAAAGGTTTAGTATATCCGTTCTAATTTAGGTTAGGTTTAGATTAATTTTATCGAGTTGGCTTGAAATAGTACGAAGGCATTGAAACTGTTTGAAGCAATGCAGTCTTTATTGACACTATGAGAGTCAAATGTATTAGCTGCTTAGGTCACTTTGTTTTTCTTTCTGTGATAATATACTACCTTTGTCCTATTTTTTACGATAGGACACTTCTATGGCAAAGTGGAATTTAGGGAACGAAAAGCGGAACCGGGTCACACACGACCCGTCATAAGATTTCTTTATCAGAAAATAAATCTTTTTTTATCAGATTTTTATTTAAATACATTAAACTACACTTCCCAGTAACTTAAAAAAAACAATTGGTATTATTAATTAATGGTTAAATGAACTTCAATGGTAGCAATTACAACGATAAAAAACCAGAGCATCCTGTTTAAAAAATTAGAAATTATCTTGAAAGCTCTATGCCTCCACTTACGTAAAAAGTATTTACATTATATAATACCCCCCTCCATATCATGCAAGTTTTGTATATAACATTTTCCCACATTATTATAAATAACGGAAATATTCCAGGTGGACAAAGTTTTTGCCCCACCCTGTATATCTCATGAACCTTCTATACAGGAAAATAAGACGGGTCACAGATGACCCAGCTTTGTCGGCCGACGATTAATGACCGTAAAAAATCCAATCAAACGAATAACATAATATATGAATAACATAAAACACTATAGCGTCCATCCAATAATGAGTTGTCCGTAAATTAAAACATCTGTGTTATTTCCATGGCCATCACCAGGTGTCCTTGGATTTGTACCCCCGTCCCCATTGCCCTCCGCAGGTAAAATAGAGATTCTGTCACTATTCAGTTGACAATCCAAACCGTTTTCACTAAGAGACACCTGTCCTAGCTTGAGTGAATGTTCTGTACTCGCCCTAGCCGCCATTGGAGTGGGGGAGAGTTGTCCTCTTTGGTGGCCAGATGAACTAATATTCCAGGTCCGAATTAAATGTTACATATTGCAATTGGTTGCCTCGTTGCTGCAGCGGTGTTAAAAATACTGGATCTTCTGGTGGGTCCTGATAACTGATTAACCTGTACTCCATGGTATTATGAAAATCTTGATTGGGAGAAGGTGTCTTGGAGTCAGTAGGGTGATATTACGGGATCGGGAGACAAAGGAAGTAGAGAAGAGGAGTTTGGGATTGCCTCTACCTTTGTCAGCATTGTGTATAGTTCGTTGTGCGTTCAAGTTCCTTCCCCAAGTGCTATTTAGATTCGCCTCAAGTGCTATTTTACGAATTCTACCATGTTCTGAAATAAACCGCTTCAAACTATTACAAAATGCATTAATTGTCTGGTCTATTGAAAGTTCTAAATCCTGCCTGCGTGATCGAAGCTGCAGATACGCAACGGGCGCGATGGTATAATCCAAGCCGCAGGTAATCGTCCATTACCTGAGTCATGGAACTCTGTCTCAAACAGCTACCAACTAGACGAAATTGAACTAAATAGCATTTTCGGAAAATTACAGAAACTATTTGTAATAACAGAAGACACCAACAGCCACAATACCCTCTGAGGTACAGAAATAATCGACGTAGCAGGAAGAATACTAGAAAAAGCTATGCTAAACCACGATATAATACTCCTTAACGACCTCAAACCAACAGACTTTAGTTTAAGGTGATTCCACGCCAAATCGATCACTTTTTAACGTCGACATCATATTCAAATACTTTCGGGTACTTCCTCGCCCGACCGAAGGGAGGGGCTCAAACCGGCTCCTCCCTTGTTCTCCTAATACCGTCGGAGCAGGGGAGTAGCACCCCGCTCAGCTCTGTCCCGAGGACCGCGTGCAATGATGGCTGGGCCCTACCCCTTTTTAGGGGACGGGAGACCCGTGATACCTCGTTGTTGGCTTGCCATCGGGGAACTAAGATGCCTCCGCGGCATCGCTACCACTTGATAGTTATGATGGGGGAGTTGACCCTGCCGGTGGGCGGTCCCTCCGCCCGCCCCTCAGGCGGCCACCTCTCCGTGTCAACCTAGCGGGGTTGCTGGTTTCGCGAACCTGCTCCGTGGCCTACATCACTGTCTCGCAGAAGGAGGCCGCGGCACACTACTGGTTTCTCTCCTCCAGCATTGAGCTCACCAATGCTGGAGGGGAGAAGTCTCATCCTACGACCCTTCGGAGGACTTGCCTCCTCCAGCGTATACTCCTCCGCAGTGGCGGCACTGCGTCGTCGCCTCCTTCTCGATTTGGCTCAGGTACTCACCGAAGCATCTGTATCCAGTGAGCACCTGTGCCAAATGGTAGGTGAGTCCACCGTGGGTCCTGCCCAGCCACCTGTTCAGGCTGGACAGGACCACCTCCTGTGGTCCAGAGGTGGTGCGCCGACAGGCGTTCGCAGCTTTGTCGCTAGATTCGGTGGTGCCTCCCTCCGCCTGGAGCTCATATGGAATGAGTCCTGCCAGAGCCAGCGCCTCCGCGTGGAAGGTGGTGCGGCACCCTTTTATGCACCTGACGGCCAGACGCCTCTCTACACGCCGCAGCGTTTCGCGGCTGTGGCATCTGGCCATCAGGTCGCCCGGCCAGATCGGTGACCCATATAGGACCATCGACCGCACCATCCCCACGTAGTGGCGGCGTACCCTCCCTCCTGGTCCCCTGATATTGAGCAGCAGCCGCCCTAAGGCGGCCGTCACCTGCTCTATTCGGGGGATCAGCCGGCTTAAGTGGGCCTCGAAACTTCACAAGGACCTGTAAAAGGACTGGTGTACCCCCGTTTTAGGTAAACGAGCTGCGCGCGCTGCTGTTATGTCCGGTTATCTGTACTTCTCGTACCCTATAGTACGGAAGG